CTGGAACAAGAAGAAAAACATTTATCTAAAATAGGAGTCGATCGTAGTAGAGTGGATAGGGTATTGACCTTGTGTACAGAAGGTTGATGATTGGATTCTCAAAAAACTCGTTTATTTATTTTTTACTTTTAATTTTTTTTGAAAATCAGGTGTAGGATAAAGATCAAAATTTTAAAATCTTATTTCTTCGCATATGCTTCTTGGTAGTGTGGTATAGTGTGGTAGGGTCGGTGAGATAATATACAAAATTCACTTCAGTTACACATTTTCTGAATGTCATTGAACTTAATTTGTCAGTTAAGATCTCAAATCCTAACTTTACATAAGGATCTATTTCATACATTAAATAGAAGGACTTTTCTTCTAAATTAAAGTATTTAAAGGTCAGTGCGCGTAGAGCACAGGAAGGTAAAGCCTCACATACATTTATAGAATAGGACTTATGCAGACATTACGTGCTTCAAGGATGTATACTGAAAACACAGAAAAATCATGCTAACTGTTAGCATAATTTTGATACTGTTACCATATTTTTATCTGTATGAACCCCGATCTACTTTTACATATATATGTAGTAGGGGTTTTCTCCATTTTGCGCTTTGTGTGCCAACCTCCATTATCAGGTGAGTATAATCTCTTTTGGAAGTTCATAATTAGGTTTTAATTTATTTATTAATTTTTTTTGTAGCTATCCTTCGATAGTTAAATCATTCATTGTTGAGTAACAAAAAAAATTATTAAATTGAATTTCCTTAGCTTCAACAGACATTTGGCATTGTGGCATTTTTTTGACTGACTCGAGAAAAGAAATTCTGCTAGGGGGGTTACGTTAAAAGAATGGAGTTGTTTTTAGGGAGATATAAGGAATAGACTGTTCATTACAAATAAAATCCATGAAGCTAACGTAGAAAAAGAGATCTTTTCTTGAGCTTCTTTTTTTTCATGAAAGAAAAAAAATACATACACATTTATTTGATTCTTGTCCAAAGCCTGGGTTAAGTATGACGGAAAAAATAGTATTGTTCGTTTAATAGCACACTTTATACTTACTCTATATAAAACACAGTAACTAGCCAAAAAACACCAGTCATGAGTGTTAGGATCCAACTTGGCATGATGATTTAATTATAAGGACCCAACTTGGCTAAAGGATTGAGTTATTTTGTCGGCTGGGATCCAAATTGGTTCTTCCGATACTCATTGTACACTCAGTGGAACTCTGATCTGTCCCGGACCCTATTTCGGAACTATGGCGTGAAGTACTGTTCAATAATACTGTACAATGTCCATTGAAAGGATCACAATAAAAACATTCAGTGATCATTGTGGTAGTGAGTGATGGTGGTATTAATGTACAGTTCTAAAATGTTATTAAAAATGTTTAATAGCGACATTTTTTAAACATTTGCGTATCATTAGCTCACAAACTTGAAATGTCTTTCTACCCATTTTTTCACAAAAAAAGGGTTTATGTACAAAAAAAAAACCAATATTGAAGAGCTATATACTTAAAAGTTTTCTTATCTAAAAGTTAACGATGTTTCTACAGTACATAGACAGTTTTTTTCAATTAATCATTCGTTTTTTTTAGACCATAAAAAAACGTAAGACATACAAGATGGAAAAATATTATCCCTGGGCAAAGTCAAAAAATATAAATTTAAGTTACAAATTTTTTTGCTTGTTGCACTAATAAATTAGTATTAAAGGTATACATAAGGTAAAGTACTTAGTAGTTGGACACTTTTGACAGTCGAAATTTTCTTTTTTGATTTATAAGAATCTAACAAAAAATGATGTTCAAAAAAACATTGCACTGATTATTTCAAAGTTTTTTTTTATTTATTAGAAAAAAAAACTAAGCATATTAGCTTAATAAACAAAATAAAAATTAATATCAAAGAAAAATCATCAAGACCCAGTATCTGGACACCAGTGCCCAGGTATTGGGACAAACATGAGACTTGGGACCAGTAGTTGGATACCCCATGTTAATTAAATGGAAAGAAGGTTAGGGTAGACCTAATTTCAAAATACTCTCTCACATCTTTCAACAACTCAATGATCATAATCTTTTTCACTACATGGTATAGTTTTTGGTCATCATTCAACTTCATTTTAGTTTGCAACAGTAACATTAACATATTATAATCAGTAATAATCGATAATTTTAAGTGTTTTTTACTGTCCAAGTACCAGATATAGGAAAAATCTTATGTTATCGAATGGAAGCTTTTCTTGGACAGAGTTATTTATATTTTTCGATGTGTTTAAATCTGATAAATATCAATAAAAATTGTAGTTGTATACATTTTGCAACGTAACTTTAGTTCGAAAATAACTTCAACGTTCTATACCCAACTATAAATTATAATTTTTAGCGATTTTTTCCGTGTCTAAGTACTAAGTACAGGAACACTCCTATTTTATTGAAGGGATCTATTATTGGACAGCAAGCTTACATGCTTTGCATTTAAAACGTATTTTTTCACTTAAAAAAGAAAAAAAATTTGAAAGAGAATTTTTTTTTATCAGGAATGCATTGATAGATTATGAATAAATTTGTCTTTCCAATTTGATAACATCTTCTATTCGAAAATGTTAATTATATTAGACTGTTTAACTACTGGTGCTATTTTTATTTATGTCCTACCACTAGGTACTTTACCTTATATGTCAAGATACAATTACATACATAATGCATAAACACAGTACACAAATAATGAGTAAAAAAGTGCATAAGGTTTATAGTTTCAGATAATAAGTACAAGATCAAAAGTTATTCGTTAACATGAAAGTAATGTCTTATGAAGTATTTGAAAACTGTCCTTAAATTATTTGTGTCTGTAATTAAATTTACAGAACTAAGTTTTGTAACACGAAGCATTTTGGATACTAATTTTTCATTGTGCAAAGATTTTTAAGCTAATACTTGTACTGGGTTAAAATCAAAGGAATGATTGTTATCATTTGTAAGCATTTATACATATAAAGACTTGTTTTTGTTTTTGCAATCCCTTACGGTAAGTAATACAATGCAACTTTTTGATGTTAATTCAAAATTTTCTACTTTTTGGTAATTCACCTAATCTTACTTAAACGTATTTTGACAAGCTTATCTACAAATTTTTTTGGATGATTATTAGCCTGAAAAATAATCAAAACATTTTTTACATACTTTTCATTAATGGAAAAATTAGCTAATTTAATTACTCAATCAAATTGTAGAAACACAACACCAATCTATTGTGAGACAGGAGAATGCACAAAAAATTTAAATAGATGCTTTTATGATTATTTTTTTAATGCTGATTCGTGGTTATATTACCTGCATTATTTCAATATAAAGAGGTACCTGAAAAGACATGAAAATTTGGAGTTGATTTCCAAATTAAAAATTTAATATGATTATCACAAGAATTTAAAGTATTTAAAATATCAATAGCTTATTCTTAGGTTAATACACTATTGCATCATTAACTTATATTTTAAAATACTTTATAGATACAGGAGCGACTGCTTATAAAGTAGTAATTGAATCCTGCATCACAAGATAAGCTTAAAAATTGATAATATTACTGATTTACATACCCCAAGTAAAGTAACTTTTATATTGAATCGCGCTAAAAAACTCAATTTTACAATTCAGAATTACAGTAATCATAACAAAAAAAAATTATTTTGAATATTTCAAAACTTCAAGTAGGCAACTTGGTGTACATACTTAAAATAGTAACAAAGTAAACATATATATTTTTAACTCTTAAAATAATCAGCTAAGTAATAAACACTTCAAAAATCAGCTTAACGGACCAACTAAATGTACGAAAAATATGCTTAAAAAATGTTTAAAAAATTGTAAGGTGATTTTAATGGTATGGTAATAAGTGTGAATAAAGCTGGAGCATTTATGATATTATATAAAAATTCTTACATTGGAAAAGTCAATTATAGCTTACATAGTATGAATATTCACAAAAAAATCATAAGCAATCCCCTACATGATGTCGCCCGTAGACACGATAAGTTGGGCACCACACTTAATTCTAGAAATTTGTTTTGTAATGATAAAAAGAATGTTTAAGTATAGAAGATAATTGAACATAAGCCAAGTGTTTCAGTTCAGTTGAAGTTCACAAACCTAAAAATTAAATGAGGGTATCTCGAAGTAGATCACACAGAATAAAAAAACACTTACCCTGGTCTGATTATAACTTTTAAAATAGCTCTGAACTTTTTACAGATATTTCTCACTTTTATGTACCACATGGTGGTCTTTCAGTTCATTTAAATGTTGTTGCCTTGTTAAATAATTTACACATCTACATAGTTAGATAATAGAAGTAGGCAATATTATTAAAAGAAAATATATTCATCTTGTAAAATAAATTATTTTTTTTTATATTCTTAGATATCATAAAATATTTCATAATAATATTGATTATGTTGCTAGTGAGAAATTTCATAGACGAAACTTTGGCTTAGCTTTGTATAAACTCTCCATGTAGCCTATAATTCTAGCTTATTGTATGATGCAGGATTTTATTACCACCGTATTTACAGTCTCTTTAATAACTGTAAAGTATTTAAGAGTATTTGTTCATGGTACAATAGTGTGTACAATTAAGGAAAAAGCTTATGATGTTTTAGGTAGTTAAAATTTTACTGATGAACATATTACATTGACGATGAAAAAACGAACCTACAACTTCTTTATTTTTTGTGATACTCCTTTGTAATAAAATTCTGCATCACAAGATCAAATAGAATTTGGCTACACAAAGAGCCTAACAGTTGAGCTAAACTTTTGTCTCTAAACTTGCTTATTAAAAACATAATAGTCGTTATAACGACAAACGTAATCCTATCTTAATTTCAACAAGGGATGATTTAATTTTAAATTTTAATATGCTCTTGCTTCATTGTAGTGTTTGCTTAAATCTTTGAAAATGTACAATATGACATTAGGAACCAACGTTAGAACTAATTAAAAAATGACCTTACAGGGCATAGAAGTAAGTCATATCTGAAACACATTAAAATCTATTTTTAATGTTCCAATCAGGCTATGGTACGTATTTTTTTCTTAAATTGTGTGATCCACCTTAAAAAGATCTCATTGAATTGTTAGTTTTGTGAACCTTAACACAACCGTTACATCTGGTCTATGTAAAATTATCTGCCTTACTCAAAAATATTTTTTCATAAGCTAAAAATTTTAAATTGAGTGTGGTGCTCGACTTATCTTGTCTACGTACTACACTCATATTTAACTTCAAGCTACCTTCAACTTATATTACATCACAAATGCTCCTCCGTTATCTATACTTATTATCATTAGATTGTTATTCTTCTTAAAAACCTGTAAACATTTCTTTAACATATTTCATATATATCCATTCGGTCCGCTTAGTTAGTTTTTCAATATGTTTATTACTTACTCAGCAGATTCTTTTGAGTGTTGAAAATATGTGTTTATGTGTTTACTTTGTTACCATCCTTAACATGTACACAAATTTGTCTATTTTAACTCTTGAAGTATTAAAAAAAGTTGTTATTATTGTTATTACTGTATATCTGAATAGTAAAATGTAATTTTGTACCTTAACTAAATATCAAAATTACTATAGTTTGAATGTGTGAATCAGTAAAACTATTTTAAATACTTTTTATAATATTTATTCTGTCATTGATGTCACTGCCACTAAACGTCTTATTACACATATAATCGCATAATACTATATTATTTTCTCTCAGATCCTCAGATGTCACTTTATTTAAAATCAAAACATTTGTCTCTGCTGTAAAAGAATTGATCAAAATTATTTTTAATGTCATTTTAAAAGTGTAAATAAAAATTTTTCATTTCAAAGAAAGATATTTTTCATACAATTCAAACATATTAGTTCTTATCCTAGAAAACAAAGGTTTGGCCTATTTAAGCTGATCTTGTGATGCAGGATTCAATTACTACTCGATCTTCTTGACAAACTGTGAGCATTTCTATAACATGTTTCTTATATACTTATAAATCAATTCAATTCACTTAGCTGATTCTTGATAACGTTTATTTCTTACTTTATTTCAGTCTACAAAATATTTATTATTGATTTGTCAATTTTTTTTGTATCTACACCAAGTTTTCTATTTAGATTTTTGAAATATTGAAAGAAATTTGTTATTTTTTTTAATACTGTAATTCTAAGCAATAAAATTAAATTCTCTACCTTACCTTAATAGAAATATAACTTTATGTTGGATTTATAAATAACACACATTGTAAGTCTCATTTATTTTAATACTTTCAATTTTATTTATACTGTCATTGGCATAGTTAACACTGTCGCGACACTTCTTATTACATACAAAATAACAGAAAACTACCTATTATAAAATAATTTAAAAAAATTTTTTTCAACGTCATTAAAGAGCTACTAAATAAATTCTTTATTTTGCAGAGCAAAATTTTTCGTATAATCGAAAGTTTCAGCTCTAGTTATAGAAAACAAAAATTTAGCTCTGCTATAAGCTCTCTATATAGCTTATTCTAGCTGATCTTGTAAAGTTGGATTTAATTTCTACTTCATTTGCAGTCCTTCCTTAGCCTATGAAGTATTAAAAAATGTATGTTGATGATGCAATAGCGTATTAACTTAAGGATATGCTAATGATATTTTTTATACTTTAAATTCTTTTGATATACATATTAAATTTTTAATGTGGAAAACTTTAAATTCCCTTACCTTCTTGAATACTACTTTATACTGGAATAATACAGGTAATACAACTACAAATTTGGATCAAAAAGATACTCACACAAACATCTATTAAAATTTTTTTTACATTCTCCTGTCTTATGAATGATTTGTGTCGTTTTTTTAATAGTAGATCAAGTACTTAAATTTGCTAATTTTTTCTTTTATATAGAATATTTAAAAGGTGTGTTGGTTATTTGAGAGGCCACTAAGTATCCAAAAACATTAGTAGATGACTTTGTAAATTTATGGTTAAAAAAGATCAAGTACCATTTGGGGATTTTGAAAAGAGTGGTAAATTTAGGATTAACACCCAAAATTGACGTTGTATTACTGTCTATAAGAGGTTGTGAGTTGGTCTTTGAAAAAATTGTGAACAAAATTAATTATACTGTTATTTTTAAATTTATTAACAAACTTGAAGTTTTCAATAATTTAAGTAGAGACAAAATTTATAACCGTGATAAAATTTGTACTGTATATTATTTTTAGTTCAAACATTGTGTTAAATGCTGCGTAGGTCAAACTAAAAGCAAACTTTGCATTCAATTAAAAAAACACTTGAAGGATTGCAAAAATAAAAAAAATCTACAGCTGTTTATATGCATACTCATAATAACTATTATATCTTGCACTTACTTTCACTTGGTACGCGTAGTAGATCAAGAATCTTTGAATAATTAAAGATTCGTATCTGCAATAGTGTGAAAAGTAATTTTGTCAATACAATTTCAGATACGTGTATTTCAAGCTCAGTTTTTTAATATTTTATAAAACACCACTTGTAAGTTAGAGAATATCTCTTAATACAATACTTGTTACCTAAAACTGTTAAGGTCACGCTCTTTTGTACTGTTAATTTGTGTACCGTGTTTGCATATTATTTATGTTACTGATCTGCATGGCTTTAATTTCAATTTGTTAGTGCAACAAGCAAGAAAATAAGGATTTTTAATTAATAAACTCGTAATTCCTAACTTTTTTTAGTAATGATAGTTTTTTTATGTTGTAAGTTTTACGTTATTACATTGGCTAAGAAATAATTTATAATTAAGGTTGTTGTAATTATAATTTTACTCATTCTCGTTAAATCTAGGTTTCAGATTTCTGTCAAAAAATTTAAGATATTAAAAGTTACTTCTCATTCAGACTACCTAAACGAATTAGATTTTATTTTAGTTAGGTAAGTAACGGTTCTCAGTTATTTCAATTTTCGTGTTTGATTACTTAAGCTACAGATGAATTCTTAAAACTTTTCAACTAGTTGAAAATCTCCAACTCCTTAAATCTCTCAATCTAGGAACTAATACTATAATTACTCAAAGTATTTAATGCCTAACCTATTTCGTGTTATTTTTGTAGTACCAAGCACGGATCTAAAGAGTTAACGGTGGGAGCGATATCCACTACCCTTAGCTTCCAAAAAAGTTATTGTCTAGCATTTTTAATATGTTTAGATAGCGATTTTTATATATCAATTTTTCTGTCTCTCAAGTGCACCTATGTAGTATGTATTGTAAGTTTTAGCCAGTGTAGAAATTTCATATAATACATCCTGGCATAGTGTGTACGTGCGAATACTTGGATAATGTACTCTATAAAACCATGCTTATTCTTTTTCGCCTACGTTATAAAACAATTTTTAAGAGAAGTGGTATAAGCTATGACTAAAAATTCATCAGAGTTAAAAAAAACTGTACTTTTTTCATTTCCTCATATGTTATAAAGAGGACGTTGTCTTGATGTCGCAAATTCCAGAACGGTAGCACATGTTTCCAGAAAGGTCCTACTGGAGCTGTGTAAAATAGTTAGGAAAAACGACTTAGTTCAGAAGAAAGTTCATATCCTGATTTGCAAATCTTTAAGCTCTTCTTGATTTGCTATTGTATTTAAATAATTACCATTATCTGTAACAACGAGCTCAGCAAATTCTTCGAAGGAACTTCTTACATCATGAAAGAGTCGACAGTAGTGATAAAAACTTACACACATGTCCTTAGGATTTCTGGCAACGTAAATTATCTAAAAAAAATGAATATAAGCCTTATGTACTGCAAAAAATTAGTGACGAGAATTCATTTGATAATAGCAACTGAATTCATTAATTACATTCAAAAGTTTGTTAAAAATAAGAAACTGTTAAAAATTAAATATACGTATATATACTTTCGGATTTTTCTTAAGAATCTGATTTGGAAGTAAATCCAGCGGTAAGTGACTTTTTATATAGCGTGGGCTAGCCAAGTTATCTACGATTTCAACTGACTCGCCTAGTTTTGCAAACCACTCGACAAACGAGCCGTTAACCATTAATGCTGATGATCTAAAAATATTTTCATTTATGCGTTAAATTCTGATATGAAGTATTTTTTACAATTTTTTTATTTTTGCAATATTTAAAAAAAAAATGTAGGAAAGTAATACGTTTCTTACTCGAGCAGCGGGTTTCGTAGAGCTACGTGATTTTTCTTAGCTTTTTCGTAATTGAGATCGTTACCTATGAGCCAAGCCATCTCCTGTACCCAGTGGCTACCTAATAGAGAAAAAATTTCGTTAATTTTTACTTGACGTAAGTTGTGTAGAATACAATAGCAATTCTCACATTGTTTAACTTAAAAAGTATATTGACTCTGTGGTAGCTACAGCAAATAAGAACTATAGCATCAATGCTACTTACTGTTATAATTTTTGATAAAAAATGATGGTAAAACGATAATAGTTTTTAATAGTTTACTGTCATAAATAAACTCATAAATCAATCTTCATAATACAAATTACCATTTAAATGTCTTGTCCAAAACAAGTATTGCATTTCGAAATAAATTTAAACACTATTGATAATTTGATTGCGTTAATCTTCTAAAAAAAATTTTTAAGTAATCCTCACAGACGGCATTTTTCCTATTCTTATCCACACGGAAGATTGTTGTTACCAGAATAAGCTATACCAAAAGTGATGAGCATAGAAAAATAACGTACAGGTCTTGAGATTTCTGCAACCAGTCTCACATTTTGACATACTTATCTGGATCACCGAAAAACCTGTGACTAGTCGGTTTTATAACTATACTAGTACAAGTTTTTCAATAGCTTTGGTACAGGATTTTTCTGTACCATGGATAGTCTATTAAATTTGTATACTGCGCATGGCTTTCTACTGTACCGTCTACCGCGCATAGTACGTGCGCTTATAATATCCAGTGGAGATATGTATGTATATATATATATATATATGCATACTTGCATACATGTATGCGATTGTCATTGTTATTTTGGCTCAATATGTAAATTGTTCTTTGCAAGTGAAAACCAATCATCATACGCTACAGGAAAGTGACTACAAGTGCCTACTACACTTATCATTACATCTTGTTGGATTCGTATCAATGTATTGAACGTTATATTGTGTTGTGGTGGATATACTGAAATCCTAACCTCTTGAACTTTTACAGCTTTGTATGCATACATATATACTGACATTCTGAATGCTCCCACTGGCCGACTAACTTTCTGTACTGGTACAGGAAAAACCCGTACCACGTATCGGATTTTGACGTACTAAGTATAAGGTTTATCTATACTCACTAAGATACTTTAAAGTATACTACCGTACCAACGTACCTGTACCAGTACACATTTTTCTTGTACAGAGTATCGAAAATACTTGTACTAACATATAGAACCTGTTTTTCTGGTAACAACAATCTTCCGTGCAAGAGTCTTTACAAGTCTTTACTCTTTTTGAGCTTCAATTTTCTATTTTTATTCTAACAGAGATCCAGTACTCAATAATGTTGTAAGTAATGCATGCAATGTCACAAATTTTTTAATTTATAAACAAATTTGAGTTCTATTTTTCCACTTATGAACAGATGATTCATACTTATCAACATTATCTGTAAACCAAAGACAACGACTTCAAACTCACAAATGATAATATATCTACAATTTTTTCTCAACAAAGTTTGCATTTTTATTCTACAAAGCCTCTAAAAATTATGCCGTTTAATGTTAAGCAAGCCAAAAATATGTTCAAGTGAATGTGACGAGATTCTAAGACCTATGGCATTTGTCAGAAATACTCGGCAAGAAATGGTCTGCGATGAAGACCAAGTGATAACTACAATACTGCTTTTAGGGATATGTAAAGAATAGGCTACTTATTTCAAATTAGGGGGGAAGCTTACGTAGAAGACTAGATATAGTACTTTCTACTTCACTTTCTTTTCTGGCAAGCCTGCTCAAAATCAGCAGTCCATCGTGTATACATGATAGGGCATATGTATAAACTTTATTTATCGAGTACGCACACCTTGTTTTCTTTTAACCGTGTTTGACATTCTGGTGGTGAATCATATTATGTTACAGTATATTGTAAATAGTGCTTTGCTGTTTGTAGTACATAGGAATAAAATTGAGTGAAACGGACTGTTCATATAGTTAAGAAAAACAATATTCACTGACGCTGTTTAAATAAAGAAAACAGATATCTCGAGTATTATAGGCAAAATAATAAGCTTTTAAGAAATGTCTATAGAACAGCGAAAAAATTTGAAATTCCCTTCAATAAGTTAATGGTTACATGATTTAACAAATCTTTTTAAAGAAAATTATGTGTTCTGTAGGCGTATCGTACCCGATAAGAAAAAAAAAATTAGTAGTAAAGGGTGGCAACTGGCTTGATAAAATTACTAAGGGGTAATTGGAGGTGAAGGGGCTTCAGTGGAGCTTCAGTCCTTCCTATAATTCCTATATAGGAAAAAATAAATATTTTCCTTATTTTGTGGGAAATGGCTTGTCAACTTAAGGTTGAGGATTATACGGGTTTATAATCTGCACTACTGAAATCTCTATGATATATTTACACTAGTAGGTCTCGTCCTCTAAATGCTTCGCTTACCAATCCCCCAATACTTTATCTTAAGGGGGTTAAAGCGAAAAACAAATTTCTTACGACAGTCTTCGAAAAATTATAATGCGTGTGTTTTCATTACGTTACCAACATATTGAAATTTCAGGAACCGTAGCGTCACAGTTTTTAAGAAAAAAAAATAGCAAACTTAGTATCTTATACACGGAATCTTATAAGAACGTCGTAGCGACATGTACATTTTTACCAACAACTTGGAAAATATTTTTACAATTCTTTCAAAAAACTAGTATATAATTGTAAGTAACAATTAAAATAATATATCCAAATTTGAGGAAGCAAGTCGTCACGGTTTAAGAAATACTTTAATTAAAAATTTTACGAAAATGCTATTGATATATCCATATACAGCAGATGAAAAATAAAACATGGAGCATAAATTCGATTTTGAAGTATTAATTTTTTATTTTCTCACTTGTTAGTAATCTTCAGCTGTACAATATGAAATAGCTCCCATGATTTATCAAGAATAGTCATAAAATACACTAATTTTTAATTTGAATTAACTTTTGAGACTGGCTGTACCGCTCTAACCCCCTTAAAACAAGAGTTGTGTCATTCAATATAACTACTTTATTTTTAGTCTTTATCTATGAGTTACATGATTTTGTACTTTAAAAAATATCGTATAAAACATATAAATATTTTTATAAAAAGATAAATAATTTTTTGGACAGATGTTCAATTAAANAAGTATTATTTAATAACACAGTAAACATTTAATCCTATTAAAATAAGTTACAAGCCGATAGAATTTTGCCTTATATAAAGGGGAGCCAAGACGGTGTAGCAGGGGGCTCTCAACAATTAAGGGGGAGAGCTGAGAGAAAGCGAAGGGGGGCTAAAGAAAAAAGTAACCTTATAAAAATAACGTAAAAATTGACAGAACTTAACCTCATTTATAGTAGTGCTAATAAAAGGTGGAGGGAAGGGTTGAGAAGTGAATGGGTAGATTCATCCAGAATTATTATGTCTCCTAATATTATATAACTATTTTAATGGGGCTTTCCATGCGAACCCCTACAGCTCTCTCTCAGCTTTCCTCAACCCCCTACAATCCTTTGATAGCCCCTCCAACAGCCTGCCCATAGGAAATAATATTTGACGGTTTTAAACCTAAAGTTAAAATTTCTTTTATTTTGTTAAATTGCCCCACAGCCCTTCAAAATTTTCCTACAACCCTTTCATAGCTTCTCTACGTTACTTTGCCTGTGGGAGGACCATAACCCCCACAGCTCCCCCACAACTACCTACGTACTAAATATCAATAATTTCCACTTTATTTATGAGATAATACTTTTTATCTATTTTTTCAGGATGCTAAAGAAGCGATAGATGGAATTTGTACATATAAATGAAATGTAATACGATTGTTTATTTTTGTCACAATATGAACTCAGGGTATTTTAAATCATTCAGGAATTTAAGTTTAAACTTTTGCTGGTGATAATGACAGTGGAAATTATGAATGACTTATTGCAACATAACAATGTCAAAGTTAGGGAAAAACTGAAAAAAATTATGAACAAAAATTATTACAATTTTTAAAAACTAACGTTGCAAGATAACATAAACATTACAACTTCTACTAAAAACATAAAAATTTTTAGATTTACAAAGAGTGAGATAGAATAAAAAAATTATAAGTTGGAATAAAAAATGTGTCAGCAAATCAAACTGATATAAATTGACACGTTGTACATAAAAGGCAAAAGTTTATGAAAAAAGCTATTTTGGAAAAGGTTTTTCTATGGAAGTAAAATCATCATCATTATTATGTATGTATCTGACTGCAAAAATGATTGTAACAATTGTTTATAATGAAATAAGTTATCATAAGACAATCTTGACCTTAAACTTTTTAACTATATATGATTTTTCCATCTTTACTCATAAAATTGGCACTAAATAATGCAAAAAGGAAAAAATTATTGTAGTATCGAATAAAGTATCTTAAATAATCATCATTTACATGAGTTGCTTTAATTTATTACCAAAGAGACTTAAAGTAGCTTTACATATTTTTCACATTTATAACAATAAAATCTTTGTCTTTCACTTTGTCAAAATTTTATACAACAAAACTTGCTATGTTAATGTTTCGGAATTCTTTTTTTTTAGTTTAGTAACAAAAACTTCGGTAAAAAGAAAAAGGTTAAATATAATTTAACAGTAGGTTCACTTAACATGGTGTCTCCTAAGGATTTGGAGCATTTTTTTTTAAACTAATTTTGTATCGCAGTAATGTAGAAAAGTCATTTAAAATTTTGATAACAGTTAACGGAATACTTTAAAGTATGATGTATAGTATATTGTATAGTATTTATGATGCTACTATTGCCTCAGGTTTAGTGGAACACGATTTCCAAATTCATAAAATTTTTAAAGTGGCACATAACGTTAGGCTGCCATGCTTGTCCAGAAAATTTTGTTCAAGGTTTTTAATGTTTGAAGATATTCAGGGCAAACATATGGAAAAAAAATTCAAGAATTTTCTATTGAAGATTGTAAAAAAAAAAAAAAATAGTTCTCTGTTCTAATATTAATTCTTTTATTTTTAATAAAATTTTAAAATTAAAGGAAAACTTTAAAGACTTTTTAAA